ACCTACTTCCTCTTATTTTTAGCATGTCCTTAAAGCCCCTCAGAGATATGATGGGGTAGGTTTTGTCATAAGACTGTTCAGCCTCAGGCTTCCCTGGACTCCTTCCTCAGGGCTGTGAGGCCCCTAGTGTGGTCTTCTGTGGAAGATGAAAGTTTTGACAGGACTACAGCTAGCTCCTTCCCAGACAGCACAGCTGCCAAACTAAAATCAGAGAAACCCAAAGTGTCCATTTCCCTAAGTGGCCAGACCCTGCTTGCTGAAAAGAGGAGGATTCACTAGTGTTACATAGAGCCACATAGAGACTGGGTTTAAAAAATAAGAGAACAGATATTTTAAAATAATAATAATTGATTAAAAAAACTAGTTGCAAGGAACTGCCTTTTGAAAGTTGAGACTGTTTCACATTAAGTTGCCAAGTCAAGAAAATTCAATAAAATGTTGAGGATGGGGGTTTGTGAAAGGTTCCTTGTTTGCTTCACTATAGGCTACCATAAGTCTTCTCTGACAAGAACAGCCCAGCATTCTGTCTCAGACAGATTTGTTCAATATTGTAATATCCAATGTTACAACATCCAGGATACTCTCAGACCCACAGGCTCAGAATTGTTTGGAAGAACAAAGAACCTAAAAAAAAGTGCTCTAGAAAAGAAAAATGTGTCCTGAAGAAAGACAGAACAGATATGTGCAGCAGATGGGGTTTAAAACGCTGGTGTTTAAGCCCTACAGCCTTCGTACACGGTCAGCTGAAAGAACAAACCTGCTATGAGCATAAACATTTCAGGGCAAGGTGAGTCTCCATTGAAGTCTTGCTGGCATTTCTTCAACACTCTCAACACTTGAAAGCCAAACTGGAGACTCTGGGTTTCTTGCTGAAACATCCCACCTGGCTGTCGATGGCTCTTTCCAAACATTACCTAGGTTTGATCCCTCCCAGCCGCCGGGCCAGATGACAAAGCCCAAGAGAGACCATGAACCTGGCCTCTCAACATGTCTCCCACATGAATTTCTAAAGTTTATTTGGGAAAGACATTCTTCAACTCCACCATTTATTAGTAAATTTGTTTTAGAAATTTTAAATAGCGAAACTCAAAGCCCCCCCCCCATATTGCCAAGCTTGTGTTACATGTAAGTATGCTATGTCATATAGGAACCATTTACTCTCTCTCTCTCTCTCTCTCTCTCTCTCTCTCTCTCTCTCACACACACACACACACACACACACGCACAATGTATCCCACACACGCAATTTAAAAAAGAAGTTGTTGCAGGCAAGAACTATGTCTTCTGTTTCTCAGTCTGTCCTCTTGGGATCTACCATGTGCCACTGGCAGTCAAATGAGTTCAAACAATCCATGGGTCACTTTCTGACTCAACCCTTAGGCATTTTTTGATTTCCAAAATGCACTTTACAGGACAGTGAGCCAAAAGGCACTTGATGGCAATGATTCACAACAGCAAACATGCACATTATATTTACTGTATGCTGGCATGCTTCAAGCTTCATGGATATGAACTGGGTGGGTCTCAGAGTATGATCTCTGGAGTTCCAGCAGCAATAACAGGGGCAGCTACAAGAAATGTATTAGACACAAACACTTCTCAGCCCTCACCCTGGAGTAGAGCCTTAAAGCCTGTGATTTAGCAGATTGTGGAGTTTCAAATTCAGTGAGTCTAGAGCAAGAGTTAAATTTTACATATCTTAAGATTCTCTTCTCCTCCTCCTCCATCTTCTTCTCCTTCTTCTATTCATCCTCTTCTGCTGTTACTGCCACTGCCTGGGGAACATACTTTGAGAATCTCCCTGGCATATGAGGAAACTGGAGAATCAAAATCAAGTTGCCCAAGGCCACACAGTGAGGAAGACCTACTATAAACCAAAGCAATCTCCTTTAAAAGCCTGGGTTCCTACACAGAGAGACCCTGTCTCAAAAAAGAAACAAATAAATAAATAAATACCTAAATTCTTTACTCTTGGAATCTCTTTGTTCTTTCTCAAGACAGATGAGAAGTGGCAGGATTCTGGGCATGAGGGTAGTTGAAGGTTTTACTGCACTCAGCAAACAAAATATCCCAAACTGCATTATATAAGTGAAAAAGCAATGTCTGGTAGTTCAAATCAAGGACTATGGTAATGAGAATGAAATTCATTCTTCTCTATGCTCTGTGGCAGTACACTGCCTCCCGTCTTAAGCAAGCACTTGACATGAGTGTACATTAATCAAAATGCCACTCTTATAAATTGAGTTGATCCAATATCAAAACCATCCCTACATTTGAAAAATAGTCCCTGAAATGAAAAAAAAAATGATGCCACCCTGGAAGACGGCCAGAGTATCATGTTTTCTGATAGATTTTTTGGTCACTCGTGATGACTCTAAGTAGCTAAAAAATCACTTAGGAACAGTGGCAGCTATGGAAAAACTAGGGTCGTATTGTCTCAATGTGGAGTGGGGGCTCTGATTTCTAGTTCCCAATAGAAAACAAGCATTGCCTGACTCCAGTCAGGGCTGGGCTCCATTTCCAGGATTACCTTTTTATCTGAGAATGGCTTGCTTCTACCCTGTCACTTCTCAGCAAGGCTGTGGGCAGGAACTAGCCCTAAGGGCTCATGACAGCAACATGTTAGTGAGTTCTTAGAGACAGGGAGCAGGAGTCTGACACACACAATGATTCTTGTTATGATGATGGAGAGGGAGGTGCTGAAGCTGAGGGACAGGACAGAGGAAGGGAACAGAAAACGAGGCAGGGTCAGTGGGCTACACTCCAGGCAGACTATAAACAGTAACAGACATTACAGCCCTGGCTTGTTAAGGAGCTCCATTGATTCACACGGTTCCCTGACAGAAGGATGACGAGAAGCTGAAACAGAAAGGACCCATTCATTCATGCAGAACACCAGCCCTCAGCCCCCATTGGCTCTCCATAATGGCTCCAGGCTGATAGCGAGGAGGGGGCCGTGGCAGAAGGAGGAGGAGGTAAAAATGAAAGAAAATGATGACTGCAAGATCATTGTGAAGCAATGTACAGCTGCACAGGCAATTGCATGCAAATGTGACTTCCCTTTTTAGCTGTAGTGAATGTCCTCAGAATCATGTATTTTTTTTCTCTTTCACACCATCTCTCCTCTCCTTCCCTGCTCATTTTCTGGGCTCCCCACTTATTTGCCCCATCTCATTCATCTTTTATCTCTTCCCATTACCCTCTCCCTCACTTAATTTTCTGTCAGTTCTATACATCTCCATTTGATTCCTCTATCCCCTTTTACCTATTCCAAGCTTCTCTAATTGCCGAGTTCCTTCCCCTTATTAGTGAGGCTTTCCCTAGTCAAGCCTTAGTTCAGCTTTATTCTCTTGCCCTCCATCCTTTCCTTCCTCTCCTCGTCCTCTGCCTCTGCCCCTTCATGAATGGATGGAAACAATACTCTGATGAAGGTCACTATGAGGGAGCCTGGGTGTTGATGGTCGGCCCCTCCTGTCAGTATTCCAGTCACTGACAGATGTGTAATCCTTGGAAAAGAAGTCCATTCATCCCTTCTGAGAGCACAGACGTGAGGCAGAGCAGGGGTGGGAAGTAGCTATGAGTCGGAGGAGGGGAAGGAAACTGAAGTTATAAATAGGATGAAAGAAGAAGAAAAAAGAAACCTAGAGTATTTTTCTTCCTTTCTTTTTATTCAGCACATCTCCACCAACAAAAAAGTGCCACAGCTGGAGAAATCATTCCTTCATCTGAGTCTTCATCTCCCTTCTTTATAACCCCACAATAGCCTTCCAAATGACAACCCATCACTGAGGAGAACTGGGCCACAGCCCAGAGAGAATTCCCGTGGCAGCTCTTTCATCTGGACAGCTCACAAGGCAAAGGGCAGACAAGGAAGGCTCAAGGTTCTTGCCACATCTTTCCATCAGAGGGAGCCTGAGGAAGTGGGAGCTACTGACTACAGTTGCAAACAGATTGCCACCAACTGGTAAGGAGCCAGACCCCAAGGAAGTCGTCTATCATTCCAAGCTGCAGTGGAAGGCATGTCAGGCCATTCTAAGAGTAGTTATTATTCCGACCAATTTTCCCATCCCACCCTAAAGCCACAAGCCTAGGCAACCCCAGCTTCTGTCTTGTAACCATCAGCTATGGCATGAACACTATATCTCATCACTAACAATTCTTTGTATTTTAAAGCTAAGATCAGCCTGAGTTGTTATTCATATATTTCACAGAAATTGTCTCGCTGGCCCTGAAATAAAAACTTTTTAATTTTAGAAAATCTTGGCAAGAAGAACAACAAGATATCATCTCCACTGGAGAATCATGTACTCCCCAAACAAGAAAAAGAAAGGCTGTGCCTATTTCTTGGAAAGAAAAGACATTCTCACTTTGGGGTATGAGTGAATGAGTCTTAGCTACAAATAAGATTCAACTTGTAGCAAGCAGAAGTACCACCAGAGCAAAAGTTTAAGGCAAGTAGCTTTAATCACAATTGTATTTAGTAGATAAAAATCCTAAGGCTTAAAGCATTAATAATATTCCAGAATTATATAAATACAGGCATGACTATGTGGGTCTTCTGTTATATAGATGAAATCTAAGTGTTTGAATTTTATTTATTTCATGTTATTTTTTTAAACAGGGTTTCTCTGTGTAACTCTGGCTGTCCTGGAATTCACTTTGTAGACCAGGCTGGCCTCAAACCCAGAGATTTGCCTGCCTCTCTGCCTCTGTCTCTGCCTCTGCCTCTGCCTCTGCCTCTGCCTCTGAAGTGTTCCTACCACCACCCAACTTGTTTGGAATTTTAGTAGCTCACTTTTTTCATGCCCTTATATCTTAAGTCCTTTTTGTTTGTTTTGCTTGTTTGTTTTTGTTTTTTGTTTTTGTTTTGTTTTTTGAGACAGGGTTTCTTTGTGTAACAGTCCTGGCTGTCCTGGCACTCACTCTGTAGAACAGGCTGGCCTCCAACTCACAGAGATCTGCCTGTCTCTGCCTCCAAAGTTCTGGTAACAAAGAAGTGCACCACCACTGCCCTGCCAGCATCTTAAGTCTTGAAGTCTAACCTGTGTATAGGTGCAGAATCTTCCCAATCTTTTTGTGGAATGGATACTTGGCTGAGATGTTTGCATTTATGCCTTTAACACCTGGAGGAACTTAGATACCAACAAGAAAATGATTGTAGCATAGATGTTATTACTTCCGAAGCACTGTGGAGTGTCAAAGAGTACTTCAAATATAGCTGTCCATTGAGTCAACAGTATATTGATGCCATTCTGTCTTAAAGATGAGCCAGAAACTAGGAAGAGCCTCCCAATCTGCCCGGCCTATCACAGCATGCCCCTGACAGTAACAAGCACTGTGCTGTGTCTCTCTGTTCATTTCTGCTGCAGGATGAAGCATGGACAACAAAGCAGGTATTTGTTTTATTTTACAAGACACTTACCATAAGCCAGAGGGATAATGAACAACCACCACAACTAAGAATTCCACTTAGTTTCCAGAAATTATCCCAGTCTCATAACTTCACTTGTCTAATTCCTGAGAATACATATTTCAATATGTGGGCACAATGACATTTCTTATGCTAAGAATTTATCCTGACAGAAAATTCTAACAAATCTGGGCTAATTGTGAATATGTATGTATGTATGTATGTATGTATGTATGTATGTATATATGCATATATGTATACATGTATATATGTATATATATATATATGTATATATCATACATTATATTTTATATATGTGATTTTAGCATGGTTTAAAATTTCAGACCCCCAAAGTCAAGTTCTACATTTCCTATTTTTCTTCACATGCTAATAAGTAAACAAAGAGTAATAGCATTTGAAAGAAACGACAGTGAGCCCTGAAAACAGAACATGGAAGAACAAGGTAACAGCTTGGGGCTGCTTTGGTTGGTTGGGGGGTCTGGAGGGAGGCAGGCAGACTTGCTACAGACAGGTCCAGAGGAGTTGCACTCCAGCTCAGGAGAGGGCGGCCCTGTAGCCAGCAAGTCAGAAAGGAAGAGCAAGGAAGCTGCCGGCACAGGTGGCAGCAAGTGGGAAAGGGGTAGAGGAAAGAAACTGCAGATGCCAGTGGAGAATAAGAGAGCAAAAGATGGTGAACAAAGAAGTTCAGCCTGAAAGAAGGCTAACCTGCCACCTTCTGTTTTTCCAGGTCACCCTTTATTAGATGGCAAATGTGTTCGTCAACAACCATCTTAAAGGGTAAAGCAACAGGAAGGTGCACAGAATGCACAAAACGGTTTACAAAACAGAGCGAAAGCAACCCCTCTTGGGCCCATTGGTAGTTTCACCTTCCTGTTGGACAAAAAAGTAGTGCAAAGTTATCGAAAAGACACGGGGCTTTCCAGGAAAGAACAATAGCATCTGTACCCCTGTAAGTCATGGAGGTGTTATTTCAGAGAAGTAGCCCTCAGCATTATTTCCCTGGCCCTTCAACTCTCCCCGCATTCCCAGCTTTGGTTTATGTTCTTACCTGAGCCATAATGTTCAAGGCCAGTGGGAACTTCCTGTGTGGCAGTCTCATCCCAGAGTGGATAAAGAGGTCTTTGCTGATGATAATTGGACTGGAAACCGCAGGTCATTCGAGGATCTTCAAAAGCATTAATAGGTCCCTGCCTCTGTGATCAGTGAAAATAAAAGGGCTTGCATTAGGAGAAAATCCTCTAGAGTTCAATCCTATTATAAATATGACTTCATACTATCCAATCACAGATATGCAAAAAAAAACCGATCTATCAGTCAAAACCAGACAGACACTCATTCCCATTTACTTTGCCCTCCAAACTCACAAGGAATGAGAGGAACTACTGATTTAGACTATGACTTCGTTTATTTCCACCCATACCTCCAAGCATCTCAGAAGCAGCTTTTACAACCTTCAAAATCCTTCCTTTGCAGTAAACAGCATACATGACCATCTCAGATTTACACAGTCTGACATTTTTCTATCAGTATTATCTCCCTCTATAAAAACATCATTAAAGAATGTTCTTACAAGACAATTCAGTGTTATAGAATTTGTGATAAATTAATGCCACAGGAAAAAGGAAAGAGTGGATCTCTACCATAAAATCCATTTCATTTGTTATTAATTGGTAGGGGTAGGTTTTGATGACATAAGTTGCTGGATAAGAACAGTCAATTTCCTGTAGTCTTTGGAGATTTATGCCGCCTCTTTATTAGCTTTATTAAATTCACAAAATAGACATTGTGAGAAAACCAAACATGCTATGCAGAAAACCATGTTTCACAATGGTTAAAAGCCTATCCCATGAAGTCAGATGAATTCAGATATATATAAATTCAAACCCAGGTTGTACCACTTACACATAAGAGTAAAGGTCTATCCCTTAATCTAAACCTTATCAAGTAGGAGAGTTGAGGGACTGGAGAGATGGCTCAGTGGTTAGGAGCATTTGTTCCTCTAGAGGACCTGGATTCAATTCCCAGAATCCTCATAGCCCCTCACAACCACCTGTAATTCCAGTTCCAGGGGATCCAATGCCCTCTTCTGGCCTCCTTGGATGCTATGCATACACGTGGTGCACAGTCATACATGCAAGCCAACACCCATACACATAAAATAAAAGTCAAACTTTTCAAATGTATAAGAAAATTATATATAAAGCAATTTAAGTATCAAATGTGTTTAATAAAATTATGAACTTATGAAATGCATGTATAAATACTCTATGTAAAACTTTGTCATCCCTACAAGGTAGGTGTTTTTTTCAACCTAAGAGATAACTGGGACCTGGTGGCACAGGTCTATAGCACCAGCTCTTCAGGACGCTGGAGCGGGAGAAAAGCAAGTTCAAGATCTGTCTGAGCTCTAGGAGAAACTGGCTATAAAGAAAGTAACTTAAAGAGATTGTGTGTCAAAATAAAAATTTAAATTAAAATGAGGTTTTAATTTACTTTTCTGTAAAAAAGGATAATTTTCTTTTATTCTTAAAAAGAAACTGTGAGCCCCACAAGGATGACACCAATGGCCACGCCAAACTGGACAGGGGAAGGCCCACAAGTCTGTAATGCTACACAAAGAATTACAGGCAACTGAGGGAAGCTGGGAGCAGGAGAGTTGGTTTTCCCCAAGGAAGAGAACACAAATTAGTTATCCAGTACTTGAAAACACATATAGAAGTGACATTATATGTACTGAACAGGTTATATTTAGGAATATATGTGTATATATACACATATATATGCATATATACATATATGAAAACACACACAAGTAACATTATACATGCTGAATCGGTTATATTTAGGAAAACATACGCATAAACATATATGTGTGGGAAATAACAATTAATGAGAAAAAGAGGCCATGAACAAGGAGGAATATGTGGGGCATATGGGAGTGTTTAGAGGGAGGAAAGGGAAGGGAGAAACTTTGTAATTATATTATAATCTCAAAAAATTAAAAATTAACAAAAAAAGAAAGAAACTGGGAGGGTAGGGAAGGTTCATAGAAGAAAAGCCCTTGCTGACAAGCCTAACAACTTGAGTTCAATACCCAGGACCCAGGGAGCAGGCAGAATCAACTCCTCTCACTTCCACATGCATGCCTTGGCATGAGAATGTTGGCGCCCACCACACCACACACATACAATAAATAAATGTTTTTAAAAAGGAAGCCGCTGGGCGTTGGTGGCGAATGCCTTTAATCCCAGCACCCAGGAGGCAGAGGCAGGCAGATCTCTATGAGTTCCAGGCCAGCCTGGTCGCCAAAGATACACAGAGAAACCCTGTCTTGTAAAACAAATAAACAAACGAAAAAAAAAGGAAGCCATCGGGGCTTAAGAGATGGTTCTGGTATAAAGCTCTTGCTGCTTTGCTGCGCACATGTGAAAACAACAGTTTGGAGCCTCAGAAGCCACATAAGATGCTGGACAGGCCACTTGTGATCCCAGAGCTCCATATGTAGAGACGGGGGCTCCCTCTGGAAGCTGTCTAACCAAACTAGGTGAACTGGTGAGCTCCGATTCAAAGAGAGACTCTGCCTCTGTAAGCAAAGTGGAGAATGATGGAGGAAGAGGCACAACCCCAATCTCTGCCTTCCACATACATACATGCACCAACATGCAGGGGAACATCACACATGCATGCACCAACATGCAGGGGAACATCACACATGCATGCACCAACATGCAGGGGAACATCACACATGCATGCACCAACATGCAGGAGAACATCACACATGCACACACACCCCACATACATACACATGCAACCAAAAAAAGAAAAAAAAAAGAAACTGTTTTTCAGACACATTCTCTCTGTGACTGCCGGCAATCAACCAGAGAACTTTGTTTTTAAGAGCAAGATGTAGGCCTGCCATTAACCGCAAGCATCTCCGAGGGCACAGGCTTCTGAGAAGCCTCTCACAGTTCTGTATTCTAAACACCTGCCTGCTTATTAGACATTTCACGAATCTACTTGATAGCCATTTCATAGAGTATAAGAACGACCTTATTACTCAACAGAACCACATCAACAGCTTCCATTCATTACGAAACTGCCCCAGTTGAGGAGAAAGAAGCAGGGGATTAGTGGGTCAGAAATCTGGGTGGTGCAGCAGTGTCTTATTGTTTAAAGGGAACCACCTAAACTAAGCTGCTTCACAGAAAGGCTCTCCACCTGCACCTTCCTTTCTTGGCTGCAAACAGGGATGCATCACTGAGATGTCTGAGCAACACACCCATCTCTGGCACAGTCTGAAGGAAAGCATCTGGCAGTTTCTCACTTGCTCACCCCCAAGCGCTTGCTGAAGGGAACTGACACGCACTGCACACCTGCCAGTGCCAACTGGCACGCTACACACCCTATAAGTATGGCCACTTTGAATCCCCACCAGCATCCTGTAAAGACAGCACCCTTATCTCCACTTAACACAAGAGCAAACTGACACTTGCAGAAGGAAAGCATATTGTCGTAGGCCGCTCTGCTTACAAAATGATGGAGACAGAAATCTAACCCCGGTCTTTTTGATTTCCAGCTGCCTCTTTTACATATACAACACGAAGTTATGCAGCTCAAAACTGATTGTTAGAAGCAGGCAGGCATGGTGACACTCCCTTGTAATCCCAGTGCTTGGGAGGCTGAGGCAGGAGAGTGACTAGTTTTAGCCCAGTCTTTGCTACAGAGGAAGACTCTGCCTCATTAAAACTAATTCCATAAGATGTATGTATATTCATAGTAAGTACTTGATGAATTATGCTAAGATGAAGTCACAGAACTAATATGCACAGTACACTTGGGCTATGCCAAGTATTTTGTGGGATGCTAAAAGTATAACAGGACAAAGGAATGAACTACAGCCTTAGGGGCTGTTGTGTAATAGTTTCTTCCTATTTTATCCTGCAGGGTATCTCTTAAAGCAGGAAGGTAAAACTACTCAAATTAGCGCCAGAGAGTCCCTGAAACTGACCAGAGTCACTAGGCCCCTCCCTGCCAGGGTAAGCATAAATACTGAGAGTCCTCAGAGGAGCAAAGTTGAGCTGCAAAGAAGACCTGAGACCAGATCAGCTGCCTGGAAGAAGCAGAAACCAGCCAAGCTGCCTGGAAGAGCAACTGAATTACTTGGAAGGGACACTCTAACCTGTTTAGCTGTCTGCAGGCTGTGCAGTGTGCTGGAGGTTCCCAGCTTTTGTGAGCTGTCACCAGTGATGCAGTGCTGTAGCTGTCTTTTGGTAGTTTCTGCTCCTATAAGTAACCCCCTCTCGCATATTCCTGTAAGTGACTGCAATAACAATCATTGGCCCCCTAAGTTGGACTTTGCTGGTATCCATACTTTCATCTGTCGTGGGTTGCCTATCTAGGACGAGTAGACGTGTGCTTTGTCTCCCAGGAAAAGTTTTGTCACACTGCAGGAACACACAGAAAAGCAAACAGGAAGTTATAGTGAGAGGGTGTGACAGCACTAAGGACCCATTTGTAGGGGAAAGGGAAAGTAGCAGAGGAGATGTTCTAGAGAAAGCAGACTACGATGAGAACTGTAGGTTGATGGACATTGAACACTGGTGAAAGGCCAAGCAGTCAAAGGGTAAAGAAGATGGCAGGCCTGCAGTTCAAGACAGACACACTAAAGAAAGAGGAATGAAAAGAGGTTCACGCAGCTCAGAGACAGCTGGAGACTGTTAGCTGGTGGGGACCAATCTTGGAGAAAAGCATTATCTTGGGGACCCTGTAACAGCACAGGGTGACAAGCACAGATGATTACAGCTGAGGTACAGGCCAGAAGTAAGCCATGAACCAGAACTGGGAGGTTGTGTATGTGACTTATTAACCCAATACATTCTAGAGATGCATACTTGCTAGTGCTAAGTAGGATGGACTGGACAGTAGAACAAGGTGAAGAGATGGGACAGTCAGTAAGAGTCCTGTCAAGCTACATGGGGAACTGAGGCAAGAATGTAGATTTGTACTACTGACCCAGACTACATTTTTATTTTCAAATTATTTAAACTCAGTGTTTATTTCCATAATGAATTTTACCTCAGTTATGATTTTTTTAAATTGTAGTTAGATAGTCCAGATTAATTGCTGACTTTGAGTACTTGCCTCACATGAAGCCTCATTAATCTTGCCTAATCCAGCTATGAAGAAAAACACAGAGGTGAAGGCGGAAAGAGCCATATGGTCTTCTAAAGGAAGAATCAGCACGATGTTTTTGAATGAGGCAATAAAGGAAAAAAAAAAAACTAAAACACACAGAGCGTTTATTCTTGTGCAGTGAAAATGCTGAGCTGTATGGTATATGTAAGGAAGGTGGAAGGCAATTTCACTTTGGGTCATGTTTAGATAGAGGAATGGCAGAGCAACTTAGTAGAGCAGTTTCTTAAGACAGGAAAGGATGAAGTTAGAGTTGATTGCATAAAGAACATGGTTTGGGCACAGATTCAAGGAAAGTGGAAGGTGAAGCAAAAAGGAAAATGATAAAATATAGCTCTTATAGCTTTTGTTTTTCTTGCCACTATAACAAGATGCCTGGCAGAACCAACTCAAGGGAAGAAAAGTTTACTTGGCCTTGAAACTTCACGTAGCCACAGTCCACCTTGCCAGGGAAGACCAAGTCAAGCAGCTTAGTCTGTGGCATGGAAGTGTGCCATGGTGACTTGTTCTACAGCAGTTAACCAAGAAGAATATAGGATGGAATAGAGATGTTCCAGGACCACTCTTAATAACTTCTTGTGTCATCCAGGCCCCACCTCCTGAAGGGCGATGGCTTTCAAAATCATAACACAACCTGGGGACCGAGCCTCTAAATTATGAGTCTGTGGGGGATAGTTCAGATCCACAGGTCTATAATGACAGGAAAAATAAGGGTATAAAAACAAAGTTGATGGTCTGGAAGAAAAAACAATAAGTGCATGCAATCTCAGTGGCCAGCAGTGGAGCTTTAAGCACTGGTGGTGGTTTCTAAATATCCACTAAGAGAGAGTGGGAATCATGTAGCCAACTCTGCCATGCTTTATTACTCTTACTGTGTGAAGAACAACTCAGTAAGCATCACTGCAGAGAGGCATTATGGGAGAGTGTCCAGGAGCCTGCAACCTAAACAAAGGCTTTGTCACTGCTCTGCTCTAAGGATGGGCTAAATAACCTTGCCATCTTCTCAGGGGACCACATCCCCTCTTCTTACAGTGAAGGGCTCCCTTGTCCATGCCCTCTCTCTGCTCCACTGATCATGCATCAGGGGCAGGTCCAGCACCTTTGCAGCCACTGTTCCTTCTGCACTGCAGGCAGCTGTGTCTCCAGAGCCACTATTCTTCCCCCCTTCCAGTCTTGTTAATCCCAAAGCCATTCTATTTGTTCATAGTGACCCAAAGTCACCCACAATTGGAAGAGGGAATAAGG